ATAATAAAAATAGTTGGAAAGAGATTCTATGCGCGTTATGTATACTGTTTACATGTATAAAGGAGAGTGGTATAGAACATTTATTTATTATTATCATATTTACTAAGTATGGCAATAAATTATGAACATTATAATGTTACGTAAATACAATAATATATATTATTATATTTTTTAATCAGATAGAACGTTTATTTGTTATTGTCATATTTACTATAAGTACACTGTGTAAAATGGTATTGCCCATATGTGTGAGATAAACAAATGACTATTTCTGATACGACATTAGAAAATTATATAACCACTTATTATATCCAATATTATAATATATTCTAGCATGAATAACCTTAGCTAGTATTATAGTCTTAAAATATTTTATTGTGCTATTTAGAAGTTTAGAACATTTTATTTATAGTGTAATGTATAGTATAATATTAAAATTAATATTATTTCATTATCGATAAATATGATAATATGACGAATCTTAGTTGCAGGCATAGACACATGTAAATAAAATAATATATATATATTGATTATTATTTTATCATCTAGAAATGGATAATAATATCAAATTAGCGGTATAATATTTTATATGATATTAAAGCGATCACGCTAACGCTAGATTAATTGTTGGTGTGGTAGAAAATCATAAATTAGCTCATTATGTCTAATATTATATGTAGTTACTTTTAATATTCAAATGCAATTATTCCATGAATATATCTTTTTTTTTTTAAATTTTTTAGCAATTAATCGTATAACCGTATAGCCAAACATTTCAAAACGTATTTACTTCCTCTTCTACTTGTTTTTAAATAATATTATATTATGATAAGATTTTAAGCTATGAGATATAATTTATTCACTTATTAACTTATTATGTTTAATGATAAACTTAGAAAATATTTTCAATTATTTTATTTAAATATTATATGACATATTATATCATGAATATAATTCTGATGATGTGTATAAAGGATGACAGTATAGAACGCATCAATATTTATGTACAGAATCATCTAAAACATACTACAACAAAGCTAGCATAGAAACAATAAAGAAAGACGAAAAATATTTTTTAAAACCAACATGTATAATATAAAGGTGCTGCAGGTGATTGTCAAGTATTTTATGGATGATCTATGACTAAAATTAAATTAAAATAAACGTAAAAGATCTAATTTCTATAAACAAGTGTGAAAAAAATATTTTACTTTGAGGTTTTTTAATTGTATACTTACTTTTTAAATGCATTGTACTAAATAATTATAAATATAATCAATATTTTATGCTTTATAATGAAATACTATGTGAACAATATTAAATATTATGTTTCATTTTCCAAAATAAGTGTTGATTTGATATTAATTTAAATATAATATTTATTGTGTAAGATTCATAAAGATGTTAAAATACGGTTTTTTTTTTTTTGTATAAATACTGTATTATATCGTATAAAACCTTATAGTACCTTAAATTATCAAAAAATTAACACAGATTATAAAACCTATAAAACTATAAAAAAAATTGTTTTATGCCATCCGTATAAATAATTTTATACCATGTGTTTAATACCTTATATAATAAAGTTTTTTACCACTGTATAATAGAAACTCACATCTCTAAAAATCCACGATAAAAATTGTAGGTATTTTAATCATAATATATAAGAAATATAAATGTTTAACATTACCAAAGGAATTTGATCGATATTTGTTGTTGACGTTGTTTCTCGTATAAATCTTATTTGATCTGTAAGTGTATTGACTAAAAACTATACTGAACACAAACCTTTAACAGACTAAGCACGTAATGATAAAATGACTCTACACACTAAATACTTAAAATGAGATAATTGTATATTTTAATTGTTGTACACATAATTATTTGTTATTATAAGTAATCTCAGTGGTCCAATACTATTTTTTAATTATTATAAATACTGATATTTTTTTATTCTAATAGGATCACAATTAATTATATTGAAATAATACTGAACTAATATATTGTATTAATGTATAGTGAATAATTTCTTATAACAATTAACAAAAAATAATAAAGAAATGTGTGATGTCTTTTCCAAGATATGTTAGGTTAGGTTTTATTTATTAATTAAATATAAATTAAAATATTTAAAATTTTGAATGAATTAAAAAGATCTTTTCGTCTTAAAACGGGATTTTTATATTGTTTTAAATGGCTCTAAAAAAATTCCAATGTGTTACATATCGATTAAATTCTTTTTAAGGAAATAGAAATTATTTTTTAAATATTTTAGTAGTCTGATAAACGTAAAAAATAACACTATTATCACTATAATATACAACACATCTAGACATTCATTAGTTATTGATTTCAAACTCATAAACATTCTACAAGTGTCATGACAATGTATTGTATTTTTTTTTTTTAATTTTTATTAAATACATTCAATTCCGCTTAATGGAGACACCAATTAATAAGGACAATCGTTTTATAGAAACAATTCTTTAATTATGTAAACAAATATATACTTATTTTTCTTAATAAGATAAAAAACATAATAAAAAAAATAAAAAATATGTGTATATACTTTATATGTAGGTATGCATTTTTATAAATAATTAGGTTATAATATCATGTTTTTATTTCTGCATTATTAAATAATTTCTATAATTGTATGTAATTTTTAAAAATAAAAATATATAAAAAAGATTAGTTTTTCAACAAATTTATATATTCGTTTTTATATTTCGGGTTATTAAGAAAACCACTTTATTGGGACAAAATAACATGCAATTGATATGTAACAATAAAGCAGAATCGACTGTATATTGTTTTATGTTTTATTTTATATTTGTTTTATGGAATACATTTTCGGAATTTATTTTATTATTTTTTTTTAGTGTGTTTTAAAACATTATTTCTCATTTACTTTAAACATGACCGGTTCAATCGCTAACATGAAAACAATTTACAAACAGAAGAATTTTACATATGTATCACCAACACCGCCTGCAAAGCTCATAGCTGCAGAATTGCATACTTAACTTCGCCGATCGCAAGTTTTTAAATGTGAGATTCGATTCAGAAGATGAGTTTAATATTTTAATTCACATATTTACACCATAGTGTTATGGGTGCATATATTTTAAAGATATTTTTAGACATATGGCTATAAATTATTATATAAATATTTAACTGATGTATGATATACTGTCAGCCATATTAGATGCGTCACAAAAGGTTGAAAACGATTTTTTTTGGAAAATTAGCTTACCATCTTATCAAACATAATATATTGAAAAGAAAATATGTTCGTTATAGAATCGAAGAAAAAAAGAAGAATGTCGTGTATTACTCAATAGAAAAAAATTGTGGAAATTACAAAATCTGGAGGATAGTTTCTTTTTGAAACGATCATATGAAAAACCAATATCATACGACCAGTTGTTTTAAATCAATTTGCGTTGATAGGTAATTATATTGTCCGAGAATTTACCTATGTTAAATCACCACTAAAAACAAACGAAGAAATGATCATTTTTATTAAAAGCCTTCGGGATGATCAGAATCGTGACTTAAATTGTGTTATTCAGTTGAAAATATTTGCAATAAGACAATTAACTGAACAATGGACACAGCAGTGAGTCGGGGAAATGTCACCAGAGATAAATCTTTAAATTTTATCATTTGTAAAAATATTTAACGTATTTTATTATTTTAAGTAGTTATTATTTCACTTATGCCACAGCCGTCACCATTTTTTTTCATATTTTTACTTATAAGAAAATAAGGTAATATAATATATAAAAAAAAAAATAAGGTAAAAAAAAAAAAAAATAATATGAGGTATAAAAAACATATAAACAAAACCGTTTGAAGTTGAAATAATGAAAAAAACATAGCTAAAATGTTTAATGCAAAACTGTTACAACTCAAAAATTTAATTCAAATCGGTTTGATTGAAACATTCAATGTTTTAATCCTTAAATAGACATTAATATGCGTTGCTTAGTTATGAAATAATTGTTTACTTAAATTACATTATAAAATTGACAAGACTTTTTTTACATTCCTGAAAAAAGTATTTTTTTAGTTCTAAATTCTGACGGTTTTGATATAGCTGCGCGATATGTGTTCAAAGATTTTCAGAGGCGGCCTATCAAAGCTCACGTAAATAACATAGAACATTTTCTTTTATAATTTAATAAAATCGTATTTGATTTTTTTTTATAGTTCTATTAGTTTCAATAATTTTTGTGAAGGTTTATATCCAGCCGTTCGTTTTATGAGGTAATATTAAATATCATGATTTACATAGTAATATTTACCTAGTGGTAATTTTTCAATTTCTATAAATTGAAAAAAAGTAAAAAACTTTTAAATAATTGTGTAAAATGTATGTCAGTTTATCAAGAATAGCTTTTTACATTCGTGTAATAATGAAAATAATTTAATATAAATATATGACTATCAATTATTTTCATAGTATTATTAATATTATTTTAAGTTTATTTTCTATAATTCAAATCGTAACTATCAGATATCGTTGATAATCAAATACTTCCTTGAAGAGCTTTTCTTTTTCGTTAAGTTTTAGATTTACTAATAATGTTTCAATATTGGTTCATTAAATTTTAGACCATAGGTTGTGAGGGAAATATCTATTTAGTCATGATTTCCATTAAATTTATACATTTTAAAAGTTAGAGCTTGGTTTTATCGATTTATATAATTTAAAATGTTAAATAAAATAAAGAAATATACATTTCTATGACATTTTGTGTACCCATCTCATATTTTTCAAAAATAAATTTAGAAAAAAGTTATTGAAATATTATAATCATTATATTTTGTAGTGAATTTTGCTCTTTTATTATTTTTATTTTTACTTTTTTTATCTTCACTATACTTGATTGTATAGCTGTAAGACCAAAAATCAGAATATGTATATCAATCATGAGATGCATCGACGTATCGTTGAAAATAAAGCCAAGTTTCCAGTGCAAAGAAAAGTAAAAATGGCACCGAAAGCAATTTACCAATCAAAAGTTGAGTTTGGTCCATGGTACATACAACAGTTACAGCAAAGTTGCTTAGGCGCAGCAGCAGGATATTTCTTCTGGACAGGAATATCAAAGTCCGTATGCACCGTAGCTGCAATTATTTTAAAAAGTGTCAATTGACAAGTAATATTTGTGTATTTTAAAAGGATGAAATAGTCGATTCAAAAATCTAGTCCTACTCCCTACTCCTTACTCCTACTACCTGCCGCTATAGCCAGTGCTAATTATTAGTTTTCAGTTATTATCTATCACATTGTTATCAGTTATCACATTGTTATCAGTTATCACATTTTTATCATTTATCAGTGTTTTCGTATTTTTTTTTGTTATTCAAAAACGAATATAGATGATTCTTGAAATGTTCACTTAAAGCTTAAATTATAGTTTTCAAAATATGTTGCCTCATTTTAAGTTATTAATAGGCATAACAATTTTTTCTATAAATGGCAATAAAAAAATTATTGCTTGGTTAAATTTTTTAAAAACTGATTTAACGTCAATTGTTTTTAAATATGTATAAACATAAAACAAAACCATAGGCAACATTTTTTTGTATTTATTTTAATTTTACATTAATTCAAAGTCGTTAAAATCACAAAGCTTTACTATCTACAAGTATTTCAAAGTAATAAATGTACTAAATCTTCATTTATTATAACTAAGTTTTAAATTGAATACAATGTTCCCCTGAAGTAGTTTATACTGTAACTAAAAAATAATTATTTTTATATATTATATTAATTGTAGTTGCCTATTTTTAATATAAATAAATTTAGGGCTTGAATTTGAAAAAAATATTTTGCTATACGTCATTTACAATTAAAACGTTATTCAACATTTGCGTTTATCGTTATTTAGAATTAAAACGTTATTCAACTTTTGCGTTTAACGTTATTTAAAGTTAAAATGTTTAGTATATTTCATAATTTATAACTATTAAATAATTGGAAATTAATTATTTCTTTTTATAATATACTATATATATAACGTTTTGTTTTGTTTGATCATACATTATGTTAATTGTTATGTTTTGTTATGTATTATTTAATTATTTTATGTTTATCGTTTTCCGTTATAATTACGTTTACAAATTGCAACCGTTATTTGTGAAATATAATGTTTTAATCATAACGTTATTATAACGTTTGCAAACCCTGTAAATAATGAATTTTGTCAAAACTATATATTTTAGTGATGAATAATGATGTTAATTATTCCGATATAATTAAAAACATTAATTGTTGGAACTTAAGTTGTTGACATATATTATAAATTTAACTACATGCAATTATATTTTACATAAATGTAGATTCATTTTAAAATATTATCTATTAATTCAATGAACCTATTCATATCATTTTACGGTAAAGTGGTATTAATTTAACTATTATAATTCAGTATTCATTTTTTTACTACATTTTCAATTTTCATTAGGTAGTATAACAAATTATGATGACACGGCGTTCTGGATAGGCATTTTAGCTACATCTTAGACCAATTTTCAATACACACACCTAACGCTAAAAAAAAAATAATAAAAAAAAAATTAATATTATATCAGATAACGAAATATTTTAAATGTAGCTTCATCGATCTGCTAGAACTCTATTATAAATTTCAAATACTGAAAAATATGCTACCTTTATTCAGTCCCTTAAATGACAAAAAATAAAACAACAAGCTGAAATTATTTTAGGTCTATTTTATCTTTGGATTAATTCTAGAAATATACACATTTTTGATAAATTATGTGTATATTGCGTAAAACAAAAAATAAATTGTACCTGTATTTTTTTTTTTTAAATGATCAATGCAAGTTTATAATTTTTCGTTCACATTTTTAAATTACATCGTTTAACGAACTTGCATTGTCACGTAGTAGGGTTTTGTCTAGCTTTTCAGGAACAGGGTCAATAATTTCATAAGAGAGAATCCGATTTCCATTGCAACAGATGTCATTTTTACTGGATTCACTTCGATGTTCAGCATTGAATAGCAAAGTTATCTACTTGGTGAATTTGTGAAGTGACGACTTGTCTTATCTAGCTGGATTGCTCAAGTTAGATTCTAACAAAACCTACAGCATCAATGAGACGGACGTCATATTAATCTTAGCAGCAAGCATCATCACTTCTGCGTCCATTAACTAAATGCGAAGTCTCATCCGTAGATTTGTGTAGTTTCTTAAGACGATTTTACTGCTCCGTATTGAGCAGTTTGGTTGAAATCTGCTAAATCCAGTAAGTGTACGATAATCTACTGTAAGTTTTAATATAACATTTAAAATTTTTTTTTAATATTATGTAATTCATAAAAAGCCGTAGCAGGCGTCGCCAAGATGACGTGAGATTTAAATTGTATTTTATAACACACTACTGTATGACACGTTGTTTTATTGTTATAACAAACCAGGTAAAAAATACTAATAAATTAAACTAAAATAAAATCAATAAAAAAAAAAAAAAAATAAATAAATAATTAAACAAGTGAATTGTATATTATTACTGTAACAGAAGTTTTTTTATCCTAAGATTACGATAAAACTATGTATTATGGGAGAATAAAAAATAAATTAATAAATAAAAAACGAAAATTGGTGCACTAAAAATAATTTTCCCGACGACGCTTTACCATAAATAATTATTATGCCGGTTCGTGTCATACGTATCCACCCAGTGGCCCCGATTTATACTTCATGTAGAGGGGAAAAATGCTGGTTTTTAGTTTTACTCGTTAAAAAAAAAAAATCATGTTAAACTTTTAGTATCTTATATTCTTATTTATTTTTAATTATATACGGATAAGATTGCTGTATAAGAAAATAATTTTTTTTAAATAATTAATACATACTCGTATTATTTTATCAAAAACTATGAGAAAAAAATTATAATTACATTACATAATAATCAGTTTCTTAAAATTTAAAAATAATATATCATAGTTATGATAGAATATTATAATATAATATATAACCTAGTAAACTGCTATACTATTGTTACCTATACTTTATACTTACCATTATTGTTAAACGATGACTACTAAATACTGATCAGCAATAAGTGATAATTTATTACCACACCCACCTACCTGGCTAACCCCCCATAAAGAGTTCTGAGGAATTTACCACCGTTGATACCCGCGATCGGCGCCACTTAACGAACTATCTGCATCCACTTGCGTTATTTAGTTTCAAGAGAAAGATAATGTAATAAAAGTATTCGTATAACACTCTCGCACATGTGAGTAGTGTATATAATGTAACCAATGTAAATTTTATGAATGAATATAAAATTTTCTTTGAGTTTGATCTAGTATGTTGCTAACACTCGTAATAGTAATTTTTTTAAGTATTTAATGTACTTTCTTCCGATGGTTTCTGTAATAAATATTTAAGTAGAACTGAAATAATGATATAACGTGTATTAGTATTTTTAAATTGACCCGCGCAAGCGTGGATATTGTATATCCGAAGCGCCGTATTATATTTTTATTTTTTAATATGGATCTTCGTTTGACATTTAATAATATAATCATTATGACATTAGGTACCAAATTACTATTATTTATTTAATAAAATCACATAAATACTTAAAGGCTATGTTAATTATATGAGAACGATTTTTTTTAATCACTTTAATAATAGATATTTAATAAAGTCATTTATGTATTTCATACTTCGTCTACAGCTATTGTCAAAAATAAAAAAAAACCTATGTGAGTGCCTTCGTACTTACGAATGATGTGTAAACATCTTAGCTGCAGTACGACTTTGATTGGGGAATATAATGTCATGGTTTGAGTAGGAATTTGTATAATCAGATAACAATAATCATACAAGATCGTGTTCTCTTTAAAATTTATATTTAACTTTTTTATTTTTATTTATATATATATATATTTTTTTATTATATATAATATATATATATATATATATTATAATTATTTATTATATATTATTAATTATGATATATTATATATCGTCAGCCTATTTAGCAAACGGCGTAACTCCAAAAAATTCAAATTTCATTTTCTCATGTCATTCAATGGAAAAAAAAATATGCGTCAATTGGTATCATAATCATAATATTTAAGTGTGTTTTATTCCATCAAACCGGTGTTAATTGATACGCATTAGTCGTAACTCCGATAAACAAATAATTTAATTTCTATAGAAACTGGTGTATCTCAATGTATATAATATTATAAATACAGTGTGTCCCGTTTTAAATGTACCACTAAATATCTCAGCCCTATAATCTTAGATTGAAATACGGTTTGCTGCAATAGCTAAGGGGTACTGAAGTACACATTTAAGGACAAATTTCAAATTTTTAACTCTTGTAGTATGCGCATGCGCAATACAAATTTTTTTTTTTTTAATTGCAACACCTATTTTTGTCACCGGATATGGATAGATTATTTTATTCTAAGTAATTTTGATCCATTGACCATAGTTCTAAACCGAAAATTGAATGAGTTACACCTTTTGGAAATTTTAAAATAATTAAATTTTTTCGATTTTACCAAAAACATTTATTGTTTTAAATTTGAATTGAGTGATTTTTTCATAGATTTTAATAAAGAATGTGAAGTAGGAAATTAAATAAAAAATACTCCGTTACATTGTTTTGACCTAAAAGATAGGAAGACGTTATTCAGATTTCTTAACTTTGCTACCGATGATGTTGGAAGATGTCTCTTTATTACTTCGTCAAAACTTATTTTTTTCAACAGGATGGAGCACCCGCTCATAATGCCATTATTATAAGACAACAGTTAAATGAAATGTTTAGAAATCGATGGATGGGAACTCACGGGCCAGTGGAATGGCCCCCACGGTCACCTGATCTAACACCATTAGATTTTTTTTTATGGGGTCATTTAAAGACTGTTGTTTATGCAGATCCACCAGCAAACTTACAGGATTTAAAAAATAAAATAACGGTAGCGTGCAGACAATTAACAAAAGAACAAATTTTGGCAGCAACCTATAGAGAAGTGAGTCGTCGATTGGAAATGTGTTTAGAAAAAAACGGAAGAAATTTTGAACATTTTATTAGATAAAAAAAATAAACATAAGTCAAAACAATGTAACGGAGTATTTTTTATTTAATTTCCTACTTCACATTCTTTATTAAAATCTATGAAAAAATCACTCAATTCAAATTTAAAACAATAAATGTTTTTGGTAAAATCGAAAAAATTTAATTATTTTAAAATTTCCAAAAGGTGTAACTCATTCAATTTTAGGTTTAGAACTATTGTTGCCGCCGTGGACGCGGCACAATAATAAACAATATAATTATATAACGAACGAGCGAACGTACGAGTCACCGCCGATCGAACACACACACACAATCACCATTTAAATTATTGTTTTATTTTTGTATGTTTTTATTTGTGTCCGTGAATTATATAACATTTAGATAATCGCCACTATCGTGCCGCCAGCGGATCGCTGTGCGAATATATGCTTGACCCCGTATTTTGTCTTCCACCGTACGTAATCAGTAAGACCGACTCGCGTTTAGGATTTTCATCTTATTTTATATTATATTTAACATTGTATTATTATTTCTAAAATTGTAAAATTATTATTCTCATATTTTTACGTGCGAGAGCCACAAGGGCCATTTAAATTTTGTGTTTCGTGTGTGCACCGTGCAATTTTATTTATTATACCTATTTTGTATTAGATTTTCGTATAGCTAGTAACTACAGGAGAACCAGCTGGCCAGTCTGCGCTCCACAAACTGTAAGTTATTTTATTATTATTATTTGTTGGGCCAGGAGCCACGTTTTATTTTATTATATTTGTTTGGTCATAAGGGCCGCAAATCATTCACATACATTTTTAATATACGAGCCACAGCTCTAATAGCTGTGTAAGCATAAATTGTATTCGGTTCGACCATAAGGGTCGTTCCTTTTTATATATCTTATTCATACGATATAGATGGTAGAAGTCATATAATACTACTACATTGTTGTGAGCTAAGTGGCTGATTAAGGTATTGTATTTTCATATAGGGATCGATAGCAGCACCCATATGATTACTTTACTTGTATTGGGCCAGAATAGGCCACGCCTATATTATATCTATTTGTTGTGTAAACAGGCCATATTACTATTATATTACTTTTTATACTTTTCTGTTGCTGTGATTTTTATTATTTGTGGATTTTAAATTTGTTGTATTTACAGCACTTAGTTACCAGAGTTAATCGTGTTACCTTTTATTTTAGTTTTAAGCACATCGACATACAGTATACACCTATACCACCCACCACACCTAGCGTTCATAATAGTCTTGCTCGGCGATCCTACCCACTTCTATTGAACTGACACACACATACAATACATCCCACACAGATCCGGTCGGCGTGTGGCCAGTTCCAGCGCGCAAGTATTTGGTGACCGGGCGTCAGGCCTATTAATCGTAGTAATATCCCGGCCGTTCATTTGGTGACCCTGACGTGATTTTCTATTATTTGTTGTGTTTTAGTATTTGAATTTTACAGTTAATACTACCTGCTTGTAATTAATTTGTCTAGTCATCAGGTTAATTAAATTAATTTTATTCTAATAATTTAAATTAGCCATTTATCGTTATTATGGGGTTATGAAGTTATGCAAGGGCAGGTTAAGGATCTTAGGAAAACGTGATCATAGGCGCCTCCTTACGCGTATGAAAACTTTGTTGGGGATTTGATCCCGACGGTTGACGCTATATCGCTATTGGAATTCCGTCAAGAAGAGCTGCCGCGTTTAAATCAAAATTCGATGACATACAGACACAATTAGAATTGATTGTAGTCGATGATTTCGACAAGAAGAAGAGGCACAAGTAAGTCGGTGAATTTACTATTTTATTATTCGATCTGCATTCAAAAATAGTGAATGCAAGGAAGAATGTTATATAGCAGCTGTCAACTCAACCTTTAACAATATTACAGCGGGTCATGATGTTAACG